CAACCCTGAATCCGATTCCCGAAGCCCTAGCGGTTATCTAGGGAAGCCAGACCCACAAAAAAGGCGGCGAATCCGATATGAAACCCGGTGTCTGCGTAACGCATGACCAGGTCACTGGTAAATCACAGATAGGTCACAGGAAAGCGTGGTTTTTTTTCTCCGCATTTTACGAACCTGGGGTTTGGCGGCAAACCCGGGGTTTCAAGCAGGTGGGCTGTCCATTCTGTCCTGGACCCATGTCATTTGCAAGCCTGCAGGCAGTCAGTGGTTGCAGTGATTCTGCTCAACATCAAGTGTAAACGAGCCTCATCCCATGAATCGTCTCAGTAAGACCAGTAAACAACATGGCTGATGGAGGAACCCTGGGGCAGATTACCATGTCAGAGAAGACATGTGCAAAAGTAACAAGTCATGACTTATCAGATTATATTTGTAGATCATCTGCTAGCTGCAGTTTTGGAAGGGTCCATGGCTGTTCCTCGCCGATTCCGTGTGAAGACTTCCCCGCCAATGCATGGGCTGGAGGAGTCTGATTCTGGCATCCTTCCCGAGACCCCTGCAAAGAAGCCTAAACGAAAGGCCCATGTGCTCGCGTGCACAAGTGAGATTCTCCCTCCGGCCCGTACAGCGTATGCCCTCTTCTTTGCGTCTGTTTATGACTCTGTCAAAGAGGGCGTTCAGTCGGAGGATGGTGGGCGATATCAGCGACTCATCGTTTCAGAAATCGGCCAACGATGGAAAGACCTTGCTGATGATGAGAGACAGTCCTGGATTAGAAAGTCGGCCCAGGAAAAGCAACACCGCCAGGATCGCCTTCGGGAACTGTGCCAGCTTCAGCCAGCTTCGGCTCCTTCTAGGAATGTACCAGATCAAGATGTCAAGATCGGCAATTGGGTGATCAAGAGCTCAAGTGCTCCCATCTGGAGCGGTACGCAGGTCACTTGTGTCAGAGCTCGTCATGATCGACTTCATTTGGCTGGTATGGCCCTGGTATTTCGAGAAGCTGAGGACTTTCAAAAGGAGATCGAGATCTTGAACAAACTGGCCGAGTGCAGCAGCCCTTTAATCCTCAAGATGTTGCAGCCGGTGGCGCCGGAGCACCCGCTGAAGACTATCCTTCTGGAAAACCTTGTCACTGCTGAGACTGCAGCCCCCTTTGAAGCAGAGAGGTTGGTAGCATTGTCCAAGCAAATGGCTGCAGGGCTGTGGTTCTTGCATGACCACGGATACTGGCACCTGGACATACGTCCTCAATCGTTCTTCTGGACGGAGGAGAGGCAGTGTGCAAAGCTTGGCCGGTTCTCTACAGCCAGGATGAAGGATGACAAGTCTCCATTGATCAAGCCCGCATATGCCGGCAATCATCGCCCTCCAGAGCTGTGGGAGAACATGGATAAAGGTCTCATTGGGGAAGCCAGTGAGGCATGGGCGTTCGGCGTGACGCTCGCAGAGTGCATTTTGGCAGGCACAATGTTCACCGCGATTGCTGCTGTTGTGAAGTTCAAGGGCCCTGCCAAGGACAAGTTTCTTCAGCGATTGAGTGCAAATCACAGGTTTGTGGTGAGCCAGCTGTTGCAGTTGAAGCCGGTGGACAGAATGGCCATACGAGATTTTGGAAAGTCCGAGGAGTTGATGTTGCAGCTAGCAGTGGCAGAGCGTGATACATGACTATGATGGAGCCAGAGTGAAAAGGATGACGCAATATTTTGTGTGCCAGCTTCGTACTGTTCCCAGCAGAAGAATTCATTCCCAGCATCCAATTTTTGCCTCTCAGGCCCGGCCTCGGCGTGGGGCTTCATCGGGATGCGGCACTACATGGAGGCCACATTGATTAGAACACAATAATATAGAATATAATGAAAAATGTGCCCTGGCTCAGGTGAGACGCATCACCGGCAGCGTGCGGGAAGAGCTGGCATTCGACTACACCCTACCCCCAAACCCTAACTCCAAATTAAACCCTAAACCCTACACCCAAATTACACCCTAAACCCTAACCCTAAACCCTAGCCCGAAACACCAACCCTAAAACCTAAACCAACTTTCAACCTAAACTTTCTTGCCCCGTTATAAGACCCTGATTAAAAAAGATCTTTTTTAATCCAGCCCCAACTATGCTAAAGAGTCTATATTAGGGGTCCTATTAAGGGCTATGTATAACCATATTATGATTACGATCCAACTGTTGCTGAGGGGGGGCAGTACCCAATCCACCACTCCGAACCCCAAAATGGAACCCTGGGCCCCAAACCCAAAACCCAAAACCCTAAACCCTGGCCCCTTTGTTGAGGGCTTAGGGTTAGGGCCCTATAAGGCCTCTAAAGACTCAACTGTGGCCCCTGCGGATCAAGGTTCCTGATTGGCAAATCGGGCTCCGAGCTCCGCCACATTCAGAACAATTATAAGGCCGCTGGCAACATGGACGTAGGGTTTAGGTTGGACATGGTTTAGGGTTCAGGGTTAAGGGTTTAGGGTTTAGAGTCTAGGTTTAGGGTTCAGGATTCAGGGTTTAGTGTTGAGGTTGGAGAAGATGTGTAGTATACAAGGTTGTCCTTCACATTGCCCGTCGTCTAGACTGTTACTGCATCGGGTTTGTACCCAAGGTTTAAGGGTTTGTGGCCTAGGGCTGTGTTTCCACAAGCAAATAGTACTCTAGAACTTGTAAGGAGGACCATGGTTACTGTCAATGCCCTTTGGTAGTGAGATTTTGGGCTATCGGATGCAGGGCTCTAGGTCTAGCATGTAGGGTTGGTGACATACCTGAAAGGAACTACATTGGAGGGTCTAGGTAGGACTTCATTTACAGGATTTGGGGTCAAGGACCATAGGATTCACGGTTTAGGTCAGATGGCTGAAGCCTGCCTGCAGAGACCTGGATTGATGTGGGATTGTAAGATCTGAGGTTTTAAGGTTTACCCTAAACCCTAAATACTCAACCCTAAGCCCTAAGCCTTCATCCCTAAACCCAGGGCACATGATTAGCTTTTGATGCATGGGAGAAGATGCTTGAACCTTCTTGGTTTGTCCTTGCAGGATCTGCGGGCTTGGCTATAGGCATCATGGTTTGACGGTTTCGTGTGCAGGCATCAGGTATCGGCTACCAACCACAAAGCCATGACGCCACCAGTAAACTTCCTGGTGCCTAAGGGAGAGTGGGGCAGCGGATCCCCAGAATCATTCCTATATAACCCACCATATATACCCTGTAATAGTTCCTATATTCACCCTAAACCCCCTTTAGCACCAGTAGGTAAACTTCCGTTCCTGCGCAAAGGATGAGACAATGCCCCAAGACTGGCTTGACACAAGCGAGGGATGAGGGAAGGGCTCAGGGCTTAGGCTCTAAACCCTAAACCCTGAACCCTAAACCCTAAACCCTGAACCCTAAACCCTAGAAAGATTCTTGGCCAGGGTTTCACTCAGTAGGTGCTGGAGGAAAGGGTTTCCGTAGCCCTATATAACGCCCCGAAATCCAAATACCCCACATGAGCTACAGTCTAAACTCCTTAAAAGGGGTTATATAGGGGCGTATATAGGGGACTACCATAGGGGATATTAAGGGGGATACTAGGAGTTTAGACGCTAGCTCACAGATGTCCTTCATACTCCCCTCACCCACATATCTCCCAGGTCCCTATACCCTAAACCCTGAACCCTCAACCCGAAACCCTAAATCCCTAAACCCTAAACCCCTAAACCCTAAACCCTAAAACCTATACCCTAAACCCTAACGTATAATTGGGGTAACCCCTATAAGCCCATTTAGGGGGATTTATAACTAGGGTTATAAACCCAGTTATAGATAGTTACTAAGTCCCATGAACCCTAAACCCTAAACCCTAGACTCTATATATCCCTATACCCCCCTTTAAAGGGGACCTAAGTCTAAACCCTAAACCCTAAACAGACCCTAAAGCCCCCTTTAACGGGGACCTACTAAGTCCCATGGGCCTCCAAGTACGTCAGGTGAGGGTGCAGATTCCACGCGAGCACTCGGTCTGCCAGAACGTTGTTGTCGTCGGCTTGCCGGGCGATGTTGCCCGTGCCGGACTTAAGAGTTTAGGGTTTAGGGTTTAGGGTTTAGGGACAGGGTTTGGGGATATAGTGGGCATGGAAAAGAACATGGAGTCTGCCATTTAGGGTGTTTAGGGTTTAGGGATGTTATCCCCCAAGAATGGAGGGCGCATGAAAAACGGGAACATCAAATACCAACTGAGATTATATTGTGAGGATGTGGGCCGTTCGGGAACGGGAGCTACATAGTTGCAGCTATCTACACTGCATCGCTATGTGGAACCGGCTTACAACTTCCCCGCTTCCCAGACCGAATCTATTTGTGGAACAAAGATTATCTGGGTGCTGGTGGATCAGGGTTCAGGACTTACTTGAAAGTTCACGTCATGGATTCCCCTCCGATCCCCCGGCATTAGAGCTAATTAAGGCGGATTTAGGGTATATCCAGGGAGCCAGTATAGAGGGGAGAGGTCGGGGAGACGCAGGGGAAGCCATGATCACGGGATAGTCATATGAAATTAGGATAACTGTGGCCATAACAATTCGCGAACTTGCACGCCCACTTATAACCCGTACATTCCGACTCATAAACCGCCAAATACGATCACCGTTGTTATCTTTATCCCTGAGCCTTCAGGCACCTAAACCCTCGACCCTATATCCCAAAACCTTGTGGAATATCTATATATATACATACATATATATATATATATTTTTTTTTTGGGGGGGGCGGGAGTGGCGTTTTTGTGCCATTAATGTTCATACTTTTGGGGTGACGGTATTTGATCTGATGTTGCTGAAGCCATTTTCTGCGGAGCTTTTTGTTGCCTGGGACCCGGGTTGGACTCGCTGCTGGGGTCCCCATCGCAATTCGAAGGGTTCGCATGGCGTGGCACGGAGTGCATTCTTCGCCAGACAGTGAGGCTTGGCTGGTTTGGTGTTTTGAGCACTGCCAGAAGCCGGAACAAGACGAACTGCGCGCACAGATGCGGAACCTGGCAGAGATGTTTGGATTCAACTTCCTATGCTTTAAGAAGTGGATGGGTTTCCAGAGCTGGCTGCAGGGCAGAACGGGAAGCGTACTGCTTGTCGCAGAGTGGCGCGAGGCGAAGCCCATCATGGAAGTCCTTGACAAGACCACCGAACAGCCGGATCTCAGAATGTGCGTTGCTTTCTGGTGGTTAGTAGCGAAAAGGGGAATAAACACCCTATATAATCCGTATATGATATGATAGTTTCCCAAAATGGGGGTCCCAATATAGACTCCAATATACAGGAGTCCTTATTATTTGGACCCCAAAAGGATACCCTTAAGTGTGGGAAACACCCATATATTCCATTAGTCCCTACCAACCCGCCGTAAGGTTGTGGCAAGGTCAGAAAAGATGCTCCGGCGTGCCGACGCATGCTCGAAGAAGCTGAAGGTTAACATCATGCTTTCGTCCGGACTAAGGACCAGGTTGCTCTTAAGGGACTTAATTTAACTTACCATATTGGGGTAGACATTCTGATAACTTAATTTAAGTTCCTTAACAGCAACCGAGAGGATTCGAGACGTGGAGCAGCTCGTGGCAAACTACCTGAAGACGCGGGTCCTGAATTGGTTGTTTATCAAAGGTTTCAACAGCAGTTTAAGCCTAAGCTAAATCTGCAGGAGTGGTGACATAACTAGAAGCACTCAACCCCATCCCCTAAACCCTAAACCCTAAACCCTAAACCCTAAACCCTAAACTAGTAGCAGCAGACAAGGACGGCCCTAGCTGCTCCGGCGGTGGCTCCGTCGTATGCTTTCTCTTCGAGGCCGGCACCGCCAACTTTGACATCGCAAGCGTTTTGCCGGTTGTCTCTCTGAAGTGAGTGCGCGACATGCCAACCCGACTCATGGAGCATGTGGTTCATTTTCATGCGGGTGACATGAGTTATCCTCCCTGCTCAAACATGGGGGTTTCCCAAAATTAGGGGTACCATTTTGGGGTCCCCATAATAAGGATTATAGTATATTGGGGTCTATCTTGGGTCCCCTTATTTTGGGAAGCTACCACATCTTGTGCAGACTTCGATTTTCCGCTGCTGCGGGCCTTGCAATAGCTGGCCCAGATGGCAAGCACCACATCCCAAGCCCAATGAAGGTCCACCCTAAGCAGATATGCCAAATCCAAGACCCAAATGAGCTATACAGTCTAAACTCCTCAAAAGGAAAGTATATAAGGGATTCTCCAATGAGATTACTAGAGGGGTTATTACGGGGGGTACTCAGAGTTAAGATTATGGCTCAAATGAGTAGTTCTTTATTTGGGGATATTATGCTACCCATTATAGAGTAAGATTCTATCCTCCTTTTGGGGTATAGTATTTTATATAAGGAATGTAATCTTACTAGGTACCCCTAAACCCTACACCCTAAACTCTAAACCCTAAAAAAACACTACTCAAAGGAGCATCTCTTCCATGGGCTTGGGTTTGACCTACATGACAAGGCGCCCTCGACCAAGGGCCAACTGTTGCATCCTTGGCGCAGAGTTGCCGAAGTAAGGGTGTAGAATCCCTAGAGGAGCCCTATATTCCCATAATCCCTACTAAGCCCTAATATAATCCCTATATAATCCCTAAGCCCGAATATAATCCCTATATAATTCCTATACAATCCCTAAGCCCTAATATGATCCCTATATAATCCCTAAGCCCTAGTATAATCCCTATATAATCCCTATATAATCTCTATATAACCCTTAAACTTTGGGTCAATGCAGCAGACGCATTTTTGAATGTTTTTGAATCCCGCCGAAAGATGCAATCGCATCTCTTGGCTGAGGCTCTGAACAACAAATCTCCTACTAGGTGGCGATGTGGAGATGACATTTGTTAATTTCCTATATCGTTTTGTTCGGGAAGCTCATAACTAATCTTGGGGGCGTTAAAGTACCACCAGCCAGATCTTTCGGCATGTCAAATTGACATAGCCCACCAGCTAAGGTGTTTAATCGGCCTGAGCCAACTTGCAAGACACTGAAGATGCGGCATCAAGGATACTAAAAGCCAAGCATTGCAGGTCATGGTCGTTTCCAAAACAGAGGGACTGTATACAGACTATACACACTAGAATCAAGCCTTATCATGGGGAACCCTGCAAAAGGGGCCCCTAATCTCGGAAACCCTAAACCCTATCATACTCCTAGATAACCCCTACATAACCTTATAAAGCCCCCTATGAACGCTAAACCCTAAACGCTGAACCCTGGACCCTGAACCCTAAACTCTAAACCCTCAACCCTGAACCCTAAACCGTGAACCCTGAACCCTGAACCCTGAACCCTAAACCCTAACCCCTTAACCCTAAACCCTAAACCCTGAACCCTAAACCCTAAACCCTAAACCAACCTTAAACCCAAAACCCTGAACCCTAAACCTTAAAGGGGCCCGGTGTTTCTTCGGTAGCTTTGAAGCTTGCAGGCGCCTGTGGTTGAAGCCTGCTTGGGTCAGGGCCACTCCTGAACTCTCAACCCGAGGGGTCTTGTAAGCAACGGAACAAGTAGGTTAGGGTGTAGGGTTCAAGCTTGAGGGTTTTAGATTTAGGGTTTAGGATTTCGAGTTTAGGGCATAGGGTTTAGGGTTTAGGTAGGATTGGCGCTAATTGAGACTATCACATGGCGTACGGGGGTCATCAGTACACATACTGCGAAGTCCTTTTGACCCTCCAAGAGCTACTTGGAGGGTCACGGGGACTTAGCAGCTATAGGCAAATACCGGGAATAACTGGGCTCAACATTTTTAAGCCCTAAACCCTAAACCCTAAACCCAAAGCGATCCCCTTTCCCGTAACAATGACAGTACGCCACCTGGCACACTCGTATATGGGGGAACCTTGTGCCAGGCACTTATGGAGGGCGGAATCCTCATCATTGCAGAGCAGGATACCCTAAACCCTAAACCCCAATGTGAATGCACATCGTTTTGGGAGTTGAGAGCTGAACTTTTCTGTGTTTAGGGGATTTGGCTGTGAGTTTTTACCCTGATATTCAGTTTCCAGACAGCCCAAATCGTGGGTTCCCCTACCGCCCCACCGTACTACCCCCCATCCCATAGTTCGCACTTGAGAATTATGGTGGCATTGCAAATTCAGTGTGGAGACCGTCATTAATGCGTTTTGGCAGCTCCTCTTTTAGTTTCAGGCCATTGTTTGGAAGACCCTGTTTAGTGAGCTTTGGTTTGAGGTTTTGAAAACAGGTAGCTACAAGAAAAAGGGCTCGAAGGCAGCCTTTTTAAACCTCATTCCCAACTCAGCCCTCAGAGCCTTAGATCCCGAATCCAAATACCAAATCCTTTACCTGAAGCTGACCTCTTTCATGAGGAAAAACCATCAAAACCATCGCCTAAATCATCTGAGCAAAGGGACAGTCCAGCAAACGCCTGGACCTTGAATAGATTCCATTGTTTGCAGACCTTCTTTCATCTGTCATCCCTGGGCCCCTGCAGGTATTGAGGCCCCAAGATAATCCCATTTTAAATCAATCCCCAGAGGGTTTAGGGTTTAGGGTTTAGGGTTGAGTTGAGTAGTACTTTCAGACCCCCACCCGCCAAAGCCTAAATCTTGGGTCCTGCCCCACCCAGCAATAGTTGGATAATATTCAGATTGTAAGTACATACATATATATATATATAGCCCCATAATATTACTCCTATTATAGGCTGCTACTGGGTAGAGGGGGGGGGTGGGGGCAGAACCCAACCTAAACCCGAATTCTTGACCATCAACCCTTAATCTTGATGGGTTTTTGAGGGAGCCTGTTGTTGATGGATGGGTCCTAAACTATTCAACTACACCAAGAGACCAGAATAGGTGTAAAACCAAGAGCACCTCATGTCATGCAGAATCACACATAATCCCAACCCCTTAACCTAAGTAACCTAGCTAAACCTAAGCCCAATCAACCTTGTCAACGCTTGGAACCTTGAAACATTCCCCTTTTGCTACAGGGCTTTCTATCCCGGGTGTATAAACCTCCCATTGCGCAGCACTGACCCTGAGGATGTGGCAGTTTTGCTGTCACGTGAGCATTTTTTTTAAACATTGATGGGAGGGGTATGTAGTGCATTATTATATAGGGGAATATTTAGGGCCCTACTATAGGGATTACTCAGGATGCTGGGAGCATAGGCTATGGCTCATGTAGTCTTGCAAGCAGGTGTATAAATTTCGTTGCCGCGCGCCATAACTTTCGGCTAAATGCAGATAGACAGCTACGTGCTGCAGACGTGAGCATACAGCCGAAACTGCAAAACAGCGTTATTAATACTCCTCAACCCTACACCTTAAACTGGCCTTTGGTTAGCTAGGAGTGAAGGAATGGATCCTTATAGTAGTCCCTATATAACCCATTATGGTAGTTTCCATGTTCTTTTCCAGTCCTTCATTCCCACCCTAAACCCTAAACCCTAAACCCTAACCCCTAAACCCTACACCCTAAACCCTAATCCCTAAACCCTAATCCCTCAACTCCAGGTGCTAAGGACTACATCGACAACGTGCTCTGGAAGGCGCAAAACCAGCCTGCAGGCACCCCGCAAATGCACAGTTCAGTAGGGCTTAGGGTTTAGGGTTTTGGGTTTTGGGTGTTTCTTGGAGGGTCATGGGAGTCAGGAACTATATATATATACTTGTAACCGGGACCTTAACCTTACTTATAGTTGGGGTAACCCCTATAACCCCATCTAGGGGGATTATACGTAGAGTTATAAAAGCCCAGTTATGAGTAGTTACTAAGTCCCATGACCCTCCAAGTAGGGTTTAGGGTCCGCAGTTTGGTTTTCCAGGTTCATTGTTGGATGCTACGCGGTTTAACGGAGAATCAGCTGGAACAGACAATTGAAAGTGAAATGGAACAGGGATGATTGCATCCTCACTAGGTTTTGTAGTTGTGTATATATTCCTACATCTCATGCACTAGTGATAAACTAGGAATTCTTCCCGTGCTTAAAAGAAATTGCCCATCCGCAGTTTTGCTGGGGTGCTATTCTGAGGGTCAGCAGATGGCTGCAGAGTTCGAGTGTAAATCTTGCACACGTAAACCTGGTACTCTACACCAAGCCCCAGATGCAGCATGCTCAGTTCTTTCCTTTTGCACGAGTCAGGTCTTCAGGACAAGCATGCTTTGGCATGATTTGAGGAGGCTTGTACGGTGTTGGAGTATTGGCCACTAAACCCTAAACCCTAGCTTTGCAAAATGAGAAACAAAGATGGCCTCTGGGGTCACCGGCCTGATGCGCAAAACTCCCAAGCCAAGATCCTAAGCCCAGAGGGTCCACCGGTGCTTGGGGCTTTGGTGTTACTTGGAGGGTCAGGGGGACTTAGTAAGTAGGTTAATAATCAATGGGGATAGTTAGGGTTTCTATATGGGTTATGGGGTTTTATCCGACTTGCTAAGCCCCCCTGACCCCCAAGTAGCAGTTGCAATA